TACTTTTTGTAAACAAAATTTAACATATCAAGCAAAGAAAATCAAATATCCAATGGATTCCTAGCAAGAAACTTGAAGAACAATACAACGAGTTGAACTTGCTTCAAAATTACTTCAAGAAAGTGCTTCCAAACTTCAGATCTAGATCCGAATCTACTTCTACTGTAGAATTTGTGTTGATGAAAGGAAATGATGAAGGTTTAACTCTAGAATTAACAAACTCTAATGAAGAATTTGAGAATTCTATTGGAAGAGCTTTGGTGAAGGTTGAAGATGAAAATGGAGAGCAAAGTGAGAGAGAATTGAGAGAATGAGAGTGTGAAGTGTAGAAAAATCATAAAAATGAAGTGAATCCCTCTTGGAATGGAGAAAATTGATTTAAATATGGTCTAGGTTTGGATTGTAAATGAGGTTTGGAGTGTGAGTTTAAATTTGGAATGGGTTTTGGTTTGGAATGAGGTTTGAAACCATTTAAATTGTGGAGGGAAAGTGAAATTAATTTGGAAATGAATTGATATTTGGAAGAATTCTAGATCCTTCTACTGATATAACATTGATCCCAAGTGAATGTAATGCATTGTAAGCTGATGTAATGTTGAAAAATGAGTGTTCTGGGCAAAACTGACACTGTGTAATCGATTGCACTGCAGTGCAAATCGATTTGCACTATTCCAAAAGGTAAAATGAGGCATCTTGGAGGGGTGCAATCGATTGCACACTTATGCAAATCGATTGCACCAAGTCAAAAGTGTAAAAATGGCCATGTTGCACCTTCTTTTGAGTCTTGCTTCGCATACAAACCTTAGTCATTTATAATACCCTTGAATGATTCCTGAAACATAATAGATAACATGTTTGGAACAAAATCATATAAACCCTACTTTATGCTATTGATTCTGAAATAATCAAAACATCTGCTTAGCAAAATAAATGCCTGATGCCTCTAACGACAGTTTGTTTAGCTCTGAATGCTACTTGAATAAACTCTGAATGAAGAAAGCTCTAAACAACAAGAAATACCCTTTGATCCCATGTCTTGTAACCAATTCAATGGTATGAAATAATTATGCAAATGAATGAAGTATAAGCCAATTAAGGTAAGAAAAGGGAGGACAAATTTTGGGCTGCAACAATTATACCAGAAGAATATGCCGTTTTTCTAGAACTGGAGTAGAAGAAAATGTGAGAATGAGAGTTGTAGTAGATGAAATTTTCTTAGGGTCGAGAAAGAGTAAAGTGGTGAAATAGAAGAAAGAAGAGGGGAGGAAGTTATATAGCTATTGGAATGAGACTCTTTGATTTTCTCTCTGAAATCAAAACACAAACGTTTTAATTTAAATCATTACTAATTAATGATTTTTCTTTTATTTAATACAATCAATTTTTGTGGCCTATGATGACCTCGGAAGTTGGAGCCATGATGGCAGGTACACACATATTACTGACATGACACCTCACTACTAGAAAATTCGCTTTTAGTGACCGAATTAGTGGCTGAAAAATTTCGGTCATTCTAGTGACCGAATTAGCCACCAAAATTAGACGTCATGTTAGTACAATTTTAAAAGTCACTAAATCGGCCACTAAATAAAATTAGCCACCGAATTAGCGACTGATATTTTGTGACCATATTTTTTAGTCTCAAATAATCGTTTATATATAAATTAATTCATCATAAAAAAATTCGGTGGCCGAAATTTCGGTCATTAATGTTTTTTTTTCTTTATTAAGTTACTTCCCTCCCAATTTTCTTCTTTTATTCACTAAAATTAGTGATTGTTTCCTAAAAACATCAGTAAAATTATATATATATATATATATATATATATATATATATATATATATATATATATATATATATATATATATATATATATATATATATATATATATATATATATATATATATATATATATATATATATATATATATATATATATATATATATATAAAACTTGTAATATTGGGGAATCTAATTCATCAACTATCAACACTTCAAAAAAAGATTGTTCAAAATTACTTCATTGTCCTTTCCTTTAAAATTAATTACACTACCAATTGGACAAATAAGTAATTAACAAATGTAACAAATAAATCTCACACAAACCTCTATTTGCATGACAAATGTCAATTAACCATTGGCTACCTCAAATTTTCCCCTTCCCACCAAAACCATTCTCTCTCCAGATTTCTCTCACTCTCTCCCATTTTTTATCACTCTCAATTTTCTCTTCTTTCCTCCATAAACCCTAATTCCGTCCCTTTCTCTGTTTTCTCTCTTTTTCTCCATCAACCGTAAATCTGCCGCTGCCCCTTTGATGTTCAGAACTTTTCTTTTCTTCCGAAAATGATCTTTGAGAGACATGAGGAGCACATGTATGTTAATCTGGTTCAAGAAATTTGGTTTTCTTATTTTTATTTACCTGTTTCTTTCTGTTTATGCATATCGAGCCGTCAACATGGACCACAGATCGAGCTAGATGATTGATGAAGCTTTCACTCATGGTCATCCTCAAAGGTTCTACCTTTTTGAATATCTACTGTAGTTTTATAATTTGTATAAATTATATGTTCTGTTCTGTTTAAAAAATTTACTGTTAGTTATAGGCTCTAGCTAATATGAACACGCACACCACCTGTTCGATTAATTGCATCACTGATGTTTTGTCATGAACTTCTGTATTTGATGACTTTAGTCTTAATCCATTTATAGTTTCTGTATGGATCTTCAAGATTCCCTTATTCATGCGAGTCTTCAAACTTTACAGATAAGCTTTGAGAGTTGTCGGTTGAGCAATAATGTGTTTTCCCTCTTACTTGAACTTTCGGCAATAATAACAAGGTATGCTAAATTATTTTAACTGCAAATGGTTATAACACTCAAGAGTTATAGTTTTGGATTAGATTGATCAGTTGTCAAGTTCTTCTTCATTTGAAGCTGGGTCAGTTGCCACTGCTTCTTCTTCTTCATTTGAAACTTTTTTATGTTTTAACTTTTGAGTCTGGGACTGCTCATAATTTAATTGAACTTATCACATTTATTACGTAGATTGAAAAGAATAGAGGTGATAAAGGAGGGTTTGGTTCGTTATCATCAATGGTTCTGGAAGAATTGAAAATAACTACAGTGATTTGATCATATCTAGCACTAGATCTGGTTTTGGTTCGAGTACTGATGTTGATTCCTTTTCTACCAAACCTAAAGGTTGGTTTCCCTAGATTGTCACAAATTCATCTAGAATGTTTGTAAATGTAACTACTTAAAATGGCAACAAATCATGCAGTCTCCAAGGTTGTGCTTTATTCTATGTCCAAATTATCATGTTTCAGAATTAAGAGTTATCTTTTCATTAATGTACCCTCTTTTTCTCTTCCTTAGGTCGGCCAACTGCGTCTGTTGCTGCTCCGCCAAAGAGTCTTGGTATGAAGCTTGGTAAATCTCAAAAGACAAATCAGTTTTTGGAATCATTGAAAGTAGAAGGTGAGGTCATTCTTGAAGATGTTCAGCCAAGACATAGCCAGTCTCGGGCAGCTGCCCCACCCCTTACCGATCCTATCACTTTAACTGTTGAGGAGAAATTAAATGTGACTCTGAAACGAGATGGCAGAGTTAGTAGTTTTGATGTTTAAGGCATGTTGTCTCTGCAAATTCTTAACCAAGAAGATGGACATATTCAAGTTCAGGTATTGTATACTTACTATCTTTCTCAAGCTGTGTCCTGTGGCTTGCATAACCAGGAATTTATTTTTAATAACAAAATGAGTTATTGACATGCAAAAGTTATAGTTGTTTCATTTAATCTCATCATCATTTGATAAAACAGTTCATGTGAAACAAAATTCTTTTCCCACCTTAGATGTTGTCTATAGTGTATATACACTTTTCTCATGGTTTATGTGAGGTTTAGTTTGCACTGATATGTTAGACAAACAATTATCTATGTTTCTTATTGTTAATGTTTAAAAATCAATCTGTATGCAATTTAAAATAGGTCAATTATAAAGTTTTAGTTAGATACTTCAGGCATAGATGTTAAGCTCAATATGAGTGTTTTTTTTTGTATGCTTTAGCCACTCGATCAATCTTCTTACACACATGATGGGGCTGGTACATATTTTCATAGAGAAAAGCTTATCTTTAATTAAATAATAAAAGAATAACATCATTCAGTTGCTGGAGCAGCCTACTAGAGGTTTTCCTCAGGACTGTTTTGTTCCTTCCTTTTATTAACTCTCCTAACTAACCTAGCCTATATACAGTTAAAGCTATCATTAGTTCAGTTAGTTGTCGGTTGTGGCTCCCTAAAACCTTTGTTATTTCTCCAACTGTACACCCATTTAACCGGGGGCATGGTAGCACAACAATTAGGTTATATAGTTGTGTATTACCGTATTCTCCGATATTTTGGATAAAAAAAGAATAGGCCTGAATGATAGAACAACTACAACAACCAAGCCTTATTCTGGTAGGTCTAGCTAGCTAGGCAAGGATCAGGATCCTGAAAGAGAGAAATAAAGGGAAAAAGTCTAAATGGTTATGGTTCAATTAGACCTAAAAAAATAAATTAAAAAGGAAGATAATGGGATTTAAAATACGTCTAAGCTGATTATTCTTTGGTCAATTATAACATTTTGATGCTTTTGATATGTGATGTATTTTAGAGTTTTACCAAAACAATCATTTTGGTTCCCTACATCGAAGAAAGAATAATGAGTTGCTTACATGCAAATAAAATTTTCAATATACAAAATGATATATATTTCTGTCCGATCAATTTATTTGTTTTCTCTCCATTTTTCACTTGTTTTTGTACAGTACCTACATTTTTCAGTATGCACCTTTCATTAAAAAATGCTTCCATTTTCCCCCCTCAAGACTGTTTTTGTATGCATATTCACTTTGGAAGACAGGTAAAGTATTGGTACTTGCATATTGTGCCATGTTTTTGCAGGTCCAAACTGGTGATAATCAGGCCATCTCTTTCAAGACAACCCTAACATGAATAAAGAGCTATTTGCCCATGACTATATATTAGGTCTAAAGGATCCTAATAGGCCTTTCCCCACTGGTCAAGCCAGTGATGCTGCAGGTGTTGGTCTTTTAAAGTGGAGAATGCAAAGCACCGATGAGTCATTGGTGCCACTGACAAGTGAGTTAATATCTATCATGAATGTGGTCAACTACTTTATTTTCATGCAATAAGAACTGACAGTGTCACATATATTTCAAATGCAGTCAACTGTTGGCCATCTTCTTCTGGAAATAAAACTTATGTCAACATTGAATATGAGGCTTCATCAATGTTTGATCTGCGGAATGTTTTGATTTCAGTACCTCTTCCAGCTCTTCGAGAGGCATCACCTGTTAGTCAGATTGATGGAGAATAGAGGTGTGTAATTTGTTGTTTTTCTTCCAAGAACAATCATGTTTTTGGTTGAAGTCAGTTGTAAATTGTTGTGGTTAGTAGAATCTGTTACACATCCGGGAGCTTTAAACCACTGACCAGATTTTCATGCATTATATTGTTTAATGGAACTAATTTTTCTTTCACACATCACCCATCCCCTCCCAAAATCACCAATTAATGATGTCTTTCATATTCTTACTTACATTTATAGCTCAAATCATTTTAATTTACTCACATTCTTGTGCACTCGATATTTCCCTAATAAAATTGGTTTGCAAGTATGACTCAAGGAATTCCATTTTGGAGTGGTCTGTCTTTCTAATTGACAATTCAAATCGCAGGTATGCTAAGTTTGGTGTGACTTATTAAGATTTAATCTGTTGCACCCATTTTTTCAGAAGATGATTTATTTGCTTGTGTATGTCGATGACATTATGATCACTAGCAATGGACCTCCAAAAACAGCTTCACGAACAACTTGAGGTACGTGATTAATTCACCAAACAAACACCAATGAACTTTCATGTTCTGATATTGTATCTGTTATACAGATTCAAAGGAAGTTGCAGATTCAAATTGGAAACCAAGGGAAACATCTTCAGATGATGTTTGAGAAACAGAAACATATAGGTGGCATCAAAGGCTCGCCCCCTTCTAACGCGCCTTCTGCTGCACTCTTGGACACGGTGATACCCTATCATGTAGACAAATTACAAATGTCAAATGATGAATGCGGCGAATTTAAATGCAACACCGAAGAAAGTTCCCAAAATGCAAGCAGAAAATAAATGGTACATGAAATTGATGTTACTGATGAACATGAGAGTGCAGATGATCAGTTTTCTACAGTACCTCCGATAAAACGGGGGAAGATTCAATGATAGCATCTAGAGAATTATGCTTGAATTTTTGCATATGCTTATCATAATGATATACTCAACTTTAACAGTAGCTAACAATGCTTAGTAATGCTTATTTTGTTTCATTGTTTACCTTGGGTTTCATTATTTACCTTTTGTTTCATTGTTCCCGCACTTGCATTATTTTGTTTAAAGGAGGAACATGTGGTTTCATTGTTTAATAATGCTTAGTACAATGAATTATTCGTAATTGTGTTGTTTTTTCCTATCAATAAACTATTGTTGTTTTACATGTAAGTTTTGATAATGAAATGCTATGATTTTTCACCTGCTATGATATTGTTGTTTTACTGCTACAAATAGGTGACATAAGAGGATTCTGCCTTTGGTGCCATTATCAAGTACCTATGGTTGAGTACCTAGCTGTTGATTTCATTCCAAAACATGTATTCTATTGCAATAAAAAAGTTACCAAATAGTTGTCTTTTCTCTGAGGTATCGCATGCTCTTGTGCTCTCTATTTCCTTCTTGATTTGTTAAACATTCATGCTTTGTTAAAATACAGAATCGAGTATATCAATGATTTATGATAAATAAAATTCATTATTTCTCCTCATTAGCAATAATGTGAAGTTGTACTTGTGCCTTTGTGTAATAGTCATGTTTTGTTGTTCAGAACTGGCTTTGAGGAGGACAAGAATTTCCATGTTGTTTTAAATTCTGTAATAGCTGGCCGCTATCATGTCACTGAGTATCTGGGATCTGCCGTATTTAGTAAAGCAATTCAAGCTCATGATCTACATACAGGTGTGGATGTTTGTATTAAAATTATAAAGAACAACAAAGATTTCTTTGATCAAAGCCTTGACGAGATCAAACTCCTCAAATATGTCAATAAGCATGATCCTGGAGACAAGTATCACATTTTGCGGTTATATGATTACTTCTACTATCGAGTAAGTTATATTGTATTCGCTACTGATCTTATTAATACTATTACATTTTCCTTTCGATCCGTTGTAGTGCAACATTAGATATTGCCCTTCCAGGAAATTTTAACATTAACTTAATAACGATATACAGTGAACGTTTCCACTCACCATTCCTTTCTGTTGTCGCACTGCAGGAACATTTGTTAGTACAGCAAACTTACTCAAAGCCAACTTGATGTAGGAGGAGTATCATAGTCCAGTTAAAATGGAGATACTGCAGTGGTGTTAATCAAACAGTCATAAATCTGCGGCGGTATTTTAAAGTGGTGCTTATAATTTGCAGTTGTGCCCCAACTGTTTCAATTGTTGTTTGAGGTGATTGGTTCAACACAATGTTTAATGTGCTTCACAAAATCGGGTGCTGCAGCATTGGTGTGGTGTGTTGTAAGTCTCAAACAGTCGGGTTTCACAATATCATAAGTGTTTAATGTGTTCCCCTTCTTTATGTATCTGGAATTAATAATAACTCTATGGTTAGTGCTTCTGAGAAATCTGTTATGGAAGAAAGTCGATCAAATGACCTCAAGGTGTTAGAACTTGCCCTTACAATGAAAAAACTGAAATTGAAAGAGATGCAGTTGGTTTTCAACTCTGATTTGAATCATCTAGAGAGGTCAAAGTTGACCATGGGAATGTCAAAGGCGTCTTTTAGAGTTAAAAAGTTTAAGAATCAATTAGAAGATTTGAGACATGGTGAACTGATTCAAAACTGCATAGATTGTCTTATTCCTGGTCTTCTTGTCATGTCCTCCTCACTTACATATGGTGCTTATGTTTATTCCTATGAACAAATTGCTGAATCAACTACATCATGCAATCGTTCAAATAAGGCAAGTATATAATATTTTTCCGCTGATTATGTTGTTATTTTAGTGCTTTCTAAAGTCATGTGTAACAATACATTTGATACCCTGGCCCTATTTTGATAGTATGACATTAATTCCAGCTGCATATTGATCCAACACTGCCTTATTTGGAAAATGTTAGTGATGCCCTTTTCTATTTTAGGAATTCAAGTCGTGGTGGAGTCTGAAATCAATGTTCTCTTTGGATTCAAAGTTACACGTTTTATGGTGTCAAGTTCAAGTTATGAGCCGAATAGCATTTGGCGTCTAAGTGATTTTTGCAATTGCATATTTACTAATCTTGAGATCAACAACGGTATCAGACACAATGCCAGATACTTTCATTCTTTTGCTATTAGGAGATGCTTGTGGCTATTGTGGCAAAGTTTGTATAGATACCTTGGGAGGTACTAGCTCTTTGTGGCTTTTGTATTCGGAAGTTTTGTGCATGGTGCACTTCTTATCAATTGTTTTTACTCCCACTTTGTTCAAGATCCTTCATGGATCAGTTGCTGCATCGCAACAAACAAAGCAGAATATAATTCTTCCATATTGGTTTCGCCGATTTTGGTTCTATGGAACTTCGCTTATGTTTCTACCATTATTTTGTGGTGTTACGCCTTTTGCGGATGTTAATCAAAGGATAGACCATTTTTTGATGAAGGTGCCAATATTTAACAAATTGGAATGAAAGGCTGTTGTTTGGTCTTGGACTACTTTGCTTGTGATTAGCTAAGGCATTAATGAAGCAAAAACTGTATGAATTGCATTTATTCGGTTGCCATTTTGTTTAGTTTATTATAGAAGGGCTATTTTGAAAATCAGACAGCATCAAGTTTATTATAGAAGGGCTATTGTTGACAGGTTGTCCACTTGTGAAATCTTCGGCATTAAATGTAATTGTTGTCACATATTTAGTTTGTGTATTTGCTCAACCATTACTGAATATATTCTAATGACCACCTTATGTAACTTATCTAACGGTTGTAAATTGTCACAATATATTTAACTTACTATCTCTAATTAATTTTAACCAAATTACCATAAGAAATTAATCATTCCATTTAATATACTATTCATTTGATATAATTAATTTGTATTAGATAATTAAATTTATCAATTCATTTTTACAAATACATATAAATAAATTATATATCAATTAAAATTAATGGACCCGTACGGACGCACGGGTATTTTCTTAGTTAAATTAATAATAAGAAAATACAACTACTTTGTAGTTGCCTACATATGTCACTTTGTGAAAGTGCCTAATCAAATCAATCATATTTAATTGTTTGCAATTTGCATCTGTATTTTCTCTTTTATTAATAGTTGTTACCTTGTTTCCACGACCATTATGCAAGTGGGTGGTTTTTGATTCAATCACTTTAGGAAAGATCGTACCTATATATGATAAAAACATATAAAAGTATAATGTAAAAATCTCTTAAAGGAAAGATTTATTGTTGGAATAAAAAAACTTGGTAAAAATATGATAACAAGAAAACAAAGTATTTATTTATTATTCACAGCCTCCATCTACACATTATTCATACAAAGATAACAACAATTGATGCCAATACCTATCGAATGGCATCACCACCTACCAAAACTAAACTAAAAACTATTAAACAACAATGCATAATTGATATGGAACCATGTGGTGCCAACCCCATTCTTCTTGTTCTTCTACGAAAAAGACACAAAACAAAAAGCAACTCTCTTTGGCTCTTTCAATATTTTATTTCTTTTTCAATACAATCATGCACCACAAACACACACCAACCACACATTAACATCAAGCTACAATATCATAACGAATGTGTTTTAGTATCACCGGGATAACAACATCCGGCGAGCTTAACTGCGGTAAATGACCCTCCGTCGACATCACCTCCACGATGGACTTGACGCCGACGTGTTGATGGAGATACTCCGCCACCACGACCGGAACAGCCAAGTCCTTCATACTTTGTATAATGTGACATGGGACAGTGACGAGACATAATATTTGTCTCATGTCACTTTTGAAAATTGTTTGTAACACGCTTAGGGCTATGTCTGGTCTCATGTTGAACAATGTTCTACTGAATTCTTGTACTGCCACTGACTCCATGTCCCCTCCAATCGCCATTGGAGCAAAGCCTGAACACCATGCTTTGTAATTTGATGCCATAGCATTGAATAATTGATCTAAATCTTCTTGTTCAAATCCTCCAAAGTAATTACTGTCGTTCAAATACCTTCACAAAATACAAATACACAATCACCGACACAACATCATTAATCACTTCATTTTTATTAATGAGTTATATATTTTGAGCTACATAAATATACTAATTTTGTTTAGTACCTTGAAAAATGAGGTCTGAAATAAAAATAAGAAATGTATGTCTTATATTTTAGGATTAAAATTAATATATGACCTAGAACTAGAGTACATTACAAGAACTAACAGTGTAAAATTATTTTTACACTGTCAATTAATTACAGCTGCTGATTTATTTAAAATATCTGACTTTTATTTTAATCACTTGAAAAATAATAATAACATATGATTGTGATGCATTAACAATGTAAAACTTTAGTTAATCGTGCATAACAATTAATCTCTAATTAAATTATTATTTTTCACATTATTAAAAATAATAGTCTAGTATATTTAATTTTTAATTTTATGTAAAAGAACAAATATAATTATTAACTTATCCCTAATTAAATTATCATCACTTCACAATATTAAGTAAATAATATATATTAGACTATTATATATATTGGCAACAAATGTATTAAATTTGTATAAGGTAAAAATATTCTCAAAACTTAAAAGAAAATACTTTATTAACTATGATTTATAAAAATACTTTATTAAATAATTTAATTTATTATTATAATCAGCAAAAACTCAAAATGGACATTTAATTTAAGAGAAATAGAGTATATAATCTGAACAATCACTAAAACATTAATTTTAAAAATTGTAACATTACCAAAATAATATCTATATTGAAACTAGTTAAAATGATATGCAAAAATATTTGTAACAAAATGTATTAGCAAAATGTTTATATATTTTTAATTTTTAATTAAACAAAAATACTCAAGTTTTTTCTTATTCAATGACTAAAATCATATGCAAAATTTTAGTTGTTTAAAAAAAAACTATTTAAACATAAAATAGAATAGTATCTATTTCTGAAAACAGAATCATTCAATGAAAAAAAAGTCAAACTAACTATCATTCGAAAATGATTAACCTTAAACTTCAAATCACCAAAGACTAATTACCTTGGAGAAGCAGATATCATGATGATTTTGGCAAACAAATCAGGACGAGAAATTGATGCAACAGTTCCAATCATAGCAGAAACCGAATGACCAACAAAGATACAAGAATCAACTCCAAGTTCTTGCAAGATTGCGAGTAAATCATAAGCATATCCTTCTAACGTTGAGTAACGTTCGAAATCGAAATAATCTGGATTAGTTGTACCAGCTCCCATGTTGTCATAAAGTATGACACGAAACTCTTCGAGGAGATGAGGTACGAGGTGTTTCCATACAGATTGATCTGTGCCAAATCCGTGAGCTAGAACTATGAACCGTGAACCTGATCCTATGAGTTTCACGTTGTGTGCTTCTTCTACTATTCCCATTTTTTTTTTGTGTGTGTTGGGTTTGTTGATAACTGTAGGTTTGTTTTTCTTTTGTTTTGTTTTTGTTAATGGAATTGGGAGGGTGGATACGTTGTTTATGATTGTGACTTTTGAGGTTTTAATGTTTTAGACTATGTCGTCATGGTTTGGATCTAAGAAAACTCTTAATGACCACAACAGGGATAAACACCAAACATATACTACTAGTTTAAGATTGTATTTTTTTTAAAACTAGAATAAACGTTAATAAGTTCACCAAACTGTAAAATGTGAATGGAAATGGAGACGCTACAGAAAATGATGGATGAATATAGTCATCTATAAAAGCAACATTCATTTGAGGGCTTTTTATATATATATATATATATATATATATATATATATATATATATATATATATATATATATATATATATATATATATATATATATATATATATATATATATATATATATATATATATATATATATATATATATATATATATATATATATATATATATATATATATATATATATTCTTAGGTAGTAATAATATATTGGACCATATTTGATATATCATAATTTTTTTAGGTGTTAAACAAATATGAAATGGGTGTGATGAGACCAATGTATTAAAAAACATTTTAATAAGATCCTCCTTTCTTAAAATTAGAAGACGAAATATCACTTACAATGCGCAGAACGGTCAAAAGTCTATTAAAACTTATCTAACTCTTAAGTTCAATTCAATAAATAAAAAAGAAACATTTCATTTAATAACGTATAAATATACTTCCACTTTTGATACTGCATAATAGCAAGATCTCATTTTCATCTCGATTGTTGATCACATTTAAAGTTTTTTTTTAGATAAACAAATATATTCAAAGAGAATACTAAGAGTATTTCAATTCAATCAGTCACAATACAATTAATATGACTTTAACCCCTAACAATCAACCTATAAAATTCACAGGCCTCCTACAAAATATCGGAAGGGTTTTTACATCATTCGTAATAATTACACTAAATCTATGATTAAAAAAAGTGCCAACAACCACCAAGAAGAATGTATAATTCTTTGGGCACTGTTATCAAGATTACCAATCACATCATTGAAAATTATCAAATTTCTCGTCCACCAGATGCACCAGCATGTGAAGAACCAAATCATATTTGTCATTTTTTCGAGCTCCTACCCACCATCTTCAAAAACCAGTCTATTAAATGATCACAACAATTAATTTCATTACTCCAAGCTGCCCCAACCCAGTAAAATATTGCCTTCAAAACTAAGCGCATATGAGGACATGAAATAAACATAGGATTACTAGTTTCTACTGAGTTGAAGCAGGACACACAAACCTTGTCATGGCAATTCGATATTACTCCCCTGACCACCAGATTTGATTGCGTCGGGGGCCTATCCAAACACAATCTCCAACCAAATATTTTTACCTTCATCGGGATATTTGTTTGCCACAAAATATCATGTGCAGTCTTGAGAGCAATATCTATTTCACTAAAGCCACCTGCTAAAGGATTACATCATAACATGACTTGACAGAAAATTTCAAATGGGAAGCACCAGGCCATACGAAACAGTCTGGTATCCCAATCCTTGGCCTAACCTCACCTAGCATTAACATAAACTCATTGTGTTCTAATTCTACCTCACCAACTAGAGAACCCTCCTCAAAGCCCAGGCTCTAGTGCCACATTTCCTCAATCCAAACCCCACACTCACCAACAACACAATATTTCATATTTGAGTTAACATACAACGCATGAAATCAAATCCTTAAGGGTATCACATCAAGCCACCTTGAATTCCAAAAGGACACAAGCGTACCTTCTCCTAATTTGCACGAAAGTTGTCATAAAAAACCTTTTTCCTCCTTTGAGTCACCTAACTGCATAACATCCCTCCACTAGAGCGATGTGTTCGTACCAGTCCTAGATTCAAATTTTAACAAAATTCAATTTATAATGCAGCCATACCTGAATTCAAACACCTTCTTCCAAATCGCACCTGGTTCGTGAATTATTCTCCACAACCATTTAGACAGCAATGATGTATTAAACACAGAGATATTTTTGATTCCAATACCCTCTTGCTCCTTTGGTTTACACACAGGCGACGAACTTAACCACACCATAGACGTCAAGTCTGCAGATCCAGCCTACAAAAACCTCCTTGAATGGCCACTAACTGCTTGACTACTTTTGTTGGAGCTTTGAAGAATGAAAGATGATGGAATGGTAAATTTGTTAGCATTGATATAATAAGTGTCACCCTCCCTCCGATGGATAGAAAATTTCCTTTCCAAGAAGAAAGCTTTGCTCTGAAGTAACCCACAACCGGCTTCCAAGAGTCTATCCTTCTATGGTTCTCACCAACTGATAAAACAAGAAATTTAAAAGGTAACTGACCAGTTTTACACGCCAAAAACTGAGCAACAACATGCATGAATAATGCCTCAACCCCCACTCAAATAGATTAATTTTCCAAAAATTAATTCTCAAACCCGAAATCATTTCAAATAAGCATCATCATACAATAAGATTGTATCATCAACAAATTTGACCAAGCATCAGCAAAAGTTCTAAAACATAACTAGTTTTTGTTTAGAGTATTTCTGAGAACTGGATGGATTCTTGAGGATACTATGTCGATCTGCTTTTATGGAGAACTTTAAGTATTAATTCAAGTACATGTATGGAATATGTCAATCATTTTTGTCCAACATTTACTTGACTCTGACTACTATAAACCCTATAAAGCATCTTTGACCATCTCGGGACACTGCACTTCTGTTTATCATTTGCTTTAACAGTCACCTCTCGTATCCTTTTCTTTTGTTTTTAAATCTTTTTGATGTGACAAAAGGGGGAGAAAGATATAGAAGTATTTAAAAAAGAATTTATACCATTCAGATTCAAAATTTAAAATAATACTTTAATTTCTGTTATATTTTAATTTTCTATTATTTTGGTTATGTTACCCAAGAAAGATATTTTAGCTTTCTTAAATGTAGTACTAAGGGGGAGCTTACAAACCTCAACCTTAGACTATTAGACTCAGAAAAAGCTTACAAACCTCAGATTTTGATGTTCTCAAAAAAGTTAAAATATTTTAGTTTTTTTGAATATAGTACTTAGGTGATTACATGACTCAACCTTAGACTATTAGACTCAGGGGGAGCTTACAAACCTCGTATCCTGATGTTGCCAAGAAAATTAAAATATATTTTACTTTTCTTCAAGATAGAACTTATGGGGAGCTTACAAACCTCAACCTTTGGACTATCAGACTCAAAGAGAGCTTACAAACCTCAAACTCTGATGATACTAAGAAAAATTGAAATTCTGGTGTGCAGATCACAGATGTCCTAAGAGATATCGAGACATTGATCTCTGCATAACTAAACAAGACCAAAAACAAGAACATCTAAATATTGCACACACATTACAGTGTCATGACAGATGTTTCAATATCTATTAAGACATATATTTCAGAACATAAGAGCAGAATGAATTTAATATATCATAAAGATGAAGAACACCAAGATATGATGACCCAGTTCGGTGAACAACAACACCTACATCTGGAGGCTATCAAGCCATGAATGAATCCATTATTAGTAGTATTAATTTAGAGTTAAACTCCCTCGTTTACAACTCCTCACTTAATCCCTACCCAATACAATTCTATCTAGAAATCACCATCTAGATAAGAGAAACCCATCTCAATTCCTAAATCACCTCAGTGATATCTAACAGTCACAACTATCAAACTATTCAATTGAAAGACACCCCTCTCAATACAATATTCAGTCAAGACTCTTGACTAACAATAATGCTTGAATTTGCTTAATAGCTTCATCCAAGAACAATATATAATTCATTACCTACAGGTTTCTAAATATCAAAAACTATGTCTACCACAATGTATCAACGGATACAAAGGGTGACTTAGAACACAAGTAAGTACACGACTCTCAAAACCTTAAACCCTTATAATTACTTTTCGAGAATTCGTTACATGGTCTACTCTTTTTTTTTGCCCTAGGTCTTGGTCTTCCTTTTATAGCCTTCAGCAATCCATGGGCTTCGAAGTCTCTATCCAATATTTTCTTGATCCATTTTCTAATTGCACCTTAAATCTTGGAACAGGTCTGCAACAAAATTGTTGCACAAGACCAAGATGTCGAGTGTAACACCCTGTAATACCCCAAATTTTGCCCTAAGATTTGTCGTCGCATTTCATTGCATTTAATCAATTACTAACAAATTTGTGTAGTCGTTTGACTTTTTGCAGGTAAATATCATATGGCATGTATTTTTTTTCTAAAAAGTAAAAATGGCACAATTGGCAAGAGGACATGTGTAAGGAGTTGTGAGTGTGAGAGGTTGAGAGTTCGAATCTCACCTTAGTCACTTTTTGTTTTTTATTATTTTTACTCTAAATGTTTCTATCTCTCATTAAAAAATAACAAAAATAGTTTTTTATTATTATTTAATTATTATTTTCGTATTTTAATTAAATCATTTTTTAAAATATTATTTTTTTTCACATTTTTCTAAATTATTCATAAAAATATCCAAAAAATCATAAAATAAAAAATATTAGAAAAAATTTTGTTCTTTTTATAATATTTTTGATTTTAGGAATCAATAGGATTATTAGTTTTTATTTTAAGTTTATTTTAATTATTTTAAATTATTTAAAATTTATTTTTTCTTAACTAATTATTTAGTTTGGACTTTAAAATGGGCTTTAGGGACATTATTGACAATTTGGTGTTAACCCTAATTTGTTCCCTATATACATGTGTTGCCTTGTTGAAAAAGAGGGAAGAATGAAAAAACCTAAGAGGAGTGAGTGTCGTTTACCGTTATTTCTTTTTCTTCATCTATTACTGTTGTTTCTTTTTCTTCATCGTTTACCGTTATTTCTTTTCCTTCATCTATTACTGTTGTTTCTTTTTCTTCATCTTTTACCGTTATTTCTTTT